TTAAAGTTATCAATAGATCAATGATAAACGTAATGTGAAACGATTAATTGAAAAACTAATACCTCCCTAGGGCTAATAAAAGCCTATCATGAAACCTAAAAAAATTATAATATTGAACATAATTGTGAATGATTTTAAAACTAAATATTTGTACCGTAAAGAGACGAATAAGATTTTGAGTAGCGTTTCAGAAGCATTTCATGGATTGAAAAGGTACCATAAACTAAAATTACATGCTCGACACCTGAAAGGACAACTTCAACAATGATATATACGTTTTGAAGATTTCTATTCAAAACTTGAACACATTGCTGTCTTGACGTATTTCATGAATAGCATATTATGAAAGTGATGTTTTGTTTCTCTTTTTTTTTTTTGAAAAAGAGCCTTTTGTTTAAAATAATAATGGTCGTGTGTTATGATTGCAAATGACTTCTGGTGATTAATTTTGAGAAGACTTGTATTTTGGAGTAAAGGATGCATATATATATATATATCTATATAGAAGCGAGGAAAATGCAAGTTATTACTACATATCGTACATTTTAGTGCTGTCGTGTGGACTCATCTTTGTCGTTATGCAGTCGCTAGCCGCTTTCTCTATACTCGTACTGTTGGAGGAATAACGATCGTGGACAATAGGGCCCTGGTTATGTGATAGCGGCGTCGGGCATCCACGGCTACTGATAATTTATACACTACTGCCAGTGACGGACAATGGCTAGTAATTAATTGCCTACAAAATACAGAGAGGGTGGTATTGTGGTATATGTATCGGGTATTTATCTTGAAATAACAACAATACAACAACAACCTGCATAGCAACACACTCGCTGTAACAAAAATATGAGTCATCAAATTATTTACTTTTCTATATATATAATATTTGCCATAATCATTTTTTTTTTATTTTCAATTTAGTTTGTGAAGTGTTATTTTTCAAAAAATAACATTGAAAACTTGGAGAGAAATAGCGTTAAATGCATTTTTCTACTCTGTGTGTGTGATTGAGTTAGTTTCTGAGAGAAAGAAAATAAAACGAGGAAATGTAACGAGGATCCGGATCCATTACTCGACTATTTTCGCCTTCACAAATCATTCGACGCCTGAGAAAATATGTTTCAAAGTATATACCACACATTTGTAAGCTTATTAAAAGACTTTACGATTCTAAATAGTCCGCCCATGTCAAACACAGCATCATTCAAACTATATAGCTGCGAGAAGAAGATTAATTTCTTTTCAAACAGCTTCTTAAAAAAAAAAATGTTGTAATTCAATAACATTCTGTAAATACAACACACGATTTTTGAAAAAAATAAATCGTTGATAAAATAGAAAAAAAAATATTAAATTGTATGAAATTTAAGCGTAAATTTAGCATGAGAATTTTCTAATTAGCGTGAATTGTAATATCGAACGTGCTTCATGCATAAAGAAAATTAAACGAATGCTTTTACTTCCGTTAGGATGCATAAACAGATGAAACTTAGGACTTATTCAGATTTACATATGGTACGTGTATTCGTGTTCTATTCTCAAGTCTAGACGTTAAACGGTCTCTCTCCTCTCTCTCTCTCTCGGTAATTTCTACAGTGCACGTTCATTCAGCTCGAAGAGTCTAATTGCACAGCCGTTGCTGAGAAATTTTGCGTTTAAATGATGTACGCGAATAGGGGAAAATGAACGCGCAAGAGAGTGAATCTCGTAGAGTATAGAGAAAAGCGAGAGAGGAGAGAAAGAGAGATGGTTCGTTAAAAATAGATGGGTACGAGCATCGTGTATATATATATATAAGAGAGCCAAGAGGTGTAACGAAAGAACGAGGAGGACGGATAAATGTATGCAAAAGACAGTTGTGAAAGAGAAAATATACTATTATAATTTCATGCTTTTTTTTTTTTTTTTTTTTGTTTAAACCCAACAAGCTTCTTAATGATAACTCGAGTAACTCAAAGTTTCACTATAAAATTACAACAAAATTTTGTCATAATATACTTTTATTTTCTCTAAATACTAAAAACTTTGAGATTAAAATTGCAATCATTATATTTAGTACTGAACACAAAAGAACTATTTTTAAGGGACAAAAAAATTCTTATTAAGATAAATTTTTCTTTCTATTTTGATGTTTATTAATTAACATTATGTTCAACATTTGTTCATTAACATTATGTTCAACAGTAGCCTTAATACTATATTCAAGAGTAGCCTATTAATTTTTGTTTAATACTAATCAATTAAAATTATGTTTACATTAATCTATTAACATTATGTTCAACATTATGGTCCATTCATTCGTGTTCAATATCAATCCATTATGTTCAATATTAATGTTGATAAAGTAGGGGATGATGATGAAGATACAAGATGATATTAGGACAAACTGCTTCAATTTCTTGAACAAAAGAAAAGGATGGATAATTCGCTATTGTTGTTATGAAAAGAATTTTTCATTGGAACAAATAGTTTTCTATACGAGTAAAAGGATGTAATCAAGAGTCTTTTTCGTGCAAGGGGACTATCTATCGAAGGTATAGGTCAGTTACTGTGCTCTCTCTCTCTCTCTTTCTCTATCTTTTTTTTTCTCTCGTGCTGGAAGCAATAGAAACGAAGGCGAACCTGTAAGAAGAATCCTGATTGCTTTATCGCGAGCAAGAGACTACAATGCTTTTACCATTCCCGCGTCGTTTATTGTTGCGGCTTGATTGCACTTCCGATAAAATAGCGTGCACACTGCGTCTCATAAAAAAGTTTCGGATGCTTATAAGGTATAGGTAGCGGTAGTAATCACTTCATAGAGCGGAAATACCGGACATTAACTAGCCACCTATTCTTCAAGGTGACGCTATGAGGTCGTTTAATCCACTCCATTGTTATCAACTTTTTATATACACGAACCTTATTCTTCAATTCTATAAGCTTTCATTTCTTTTAAATTTTTTGATTTGAAATTTTTTTCACGTCACTTCTTCAGTATTTTATCAAAATCAATTTATTTTTTTTTTGAGAAAAATATATTTTTGATATTGAATGTCGATTTATTTTCAATTTATATTTTGAAATTGAATTTGGATTTAAAAAATGACCCTCTTTCGCAGTCTCTCTCTTTCACCTGGGTTCGTGACTCCCTCAATAGGCGCGAGAGGACGCGTACGTTACAAGATACTCTGTTTTACATGCCTGATTGCATCTTCAACTCGACCGTGACACGCGTCGCCTGCGCTCACGGATCTAAACTTGAAACGACTACTACTACTACTACTACTACTACTTTCCGCATATATAGTGACTCTTTTAATGCCAATAGACCATATAAAACAATTGTGCTTTTATTGCCCGAAATCGTGGCCTACCCTCCTTTTTTTTCCAATTAAATTCTCTCAAGCTTGAATCGAACTTGAAATGCGATGCTACTTTGAAACTAAACGGTATTATTTTTTTTTTTTTTGCAAATTCCTTTTTATAACTATATATTAAAGGGCAAATAAAATGTGATACTTTTTTAAGAGAACTTGGCTTTTATATACGTGTCGCAACAATCTTAACAGTGAAACAATGTTTTCAAGTTGTAAAATTTAATAGATCGTGAATTAGTTGTCATTTTATTGAACTCTCACACAACTGTTACGGAAAATACTTTTATAGTACAGATTTTTTTTTTTTTTTTAAAAAAAAAGGATGTTTTTGTAAACAGTTAAACGATCTTAATTCGATATCGGGAAAATAAATTTCTAGGTTGGTAACAGTAAAGTTACTAGTTCGTAACTAGTTTTTTGGGTTTCTAATTGGTTGTGATACAGAATTAGTAATTTGCCACTCAATCAGAAACAGTTCCCTAAGAGTATTCGGACTTAATAATTTTATTACTAGAGTGACAAAACCCTAGTGACATTAAAGGGTTTCGATAGTTTTCCACTTTGGTTGGTAACAGTAAAGTTACTAGTTCGTAACATAAGGTACTAGTTTTTTAGGTTTCTAATTGGTTGTGATACAGAATTAGTAATTTGCCACTCAATCAGAAACAGTTCCCTAAGAGTATTCGGGCTTAATAATTTTATTACTAGAGTGACAAAACCCTAGTGACATTAAAGGGTTTCGATAGTTTTCCACTTTAAGAAACTATTAGAGAAGGAAAATTGTAGTTTAGAATATTGTCAATGTTGTTACTCTAAATAATCCTGTGAGATAGGTTCCCTTGGAGCACTAGAAATTGGGAAGCTGTTCAAGTTCGACGCACAAGAGAATCCCTTCTTGTCTACAAATGAAGTAGTCGTCAATGTGCTTCCAAACTCCCTCTCTCTCTCTCTCCCAGTAATGCCAGCTAGGGTACAAGGAACAATTTTCAACTGTAGCAGAGAACTCGTAACAAGAGTAAGAGCAGACAAGGGGTCTTTGTCATATTAAGCAGTCCTTCACGGTTTTAGCTCGTTCAAGACACACTCCGTCAAAGATACTTGAGAATAAATGAAATGACAGTTGCTCATTTGGGGGTTTTTTTTTTCTTCACTTATCCGAAAATAACTACAAAAATTAAAATTTGAAACTATTTTCGAATTCCACTTTTGATTTGAAAAAACTAAAGTATTAAATATTTTCATGTAAAACTAATTCGTATCTTGAATGTGACATGTATTACAAGCTTAAGTTATTCGTGACGTGGAATTGTCTTTTTTTCCAGTGTCTTATTTCACACTTGAACAAGAGCAGCCCGACGGTGTATTTTATTCGTGAGGGTGGCACATGCTAGAGTGGAGGCAATTTTATTGGATGTGACACTAGCTCCCCTTCTTCTTTAGAAAGAGAGAGAGAGAGAGAGAGAGGTCCAAATAAGCCTGTCTTTTTCTCGTGTAAGGAAAGGTTTGGGGGGGGGCTTCAAATGGCGGCAATATCCGCGTGTATTGACTCCTAGAATTGGGCTTCCAAGCTGTGCACTCCCTTCTTTTTTTTTTTTTTGTCTTTTTCACACACAGAGGCGACACATATAAATATATACTCACTTCGCTCAATTTCCCTTGCCGCTTTTAGATCCGTCCCATTTCGACCACCACGGGTCTCGTTGCGTTCACCCGAATCACGGAAACCAAACGCTTTATGTGTATATCCTCTTTCCTTTTTCGCTTCGTTTCCCCGAGATGAGCTTACGTTACCTTCTTGACAGTAAGTCTGCGAGAAAAAAAAGAGAGAAAAATTTTTTAACAAATTTCTTTATAGGGCTACAAAATCCTATTGCTACTGAATAATTTGAAATTTTATTTGTCAATTCCGAGAGGAATTGTGATTGGCTTATCATTACGATTATTCGACGCTGAAATTTCTAGTTCGCGATAGTGTTTAAGGAGTGGGGATCGTGACGTGATTGGTTCCCCACTCCGCATGAATGACAATCATTGGACGGCTTAGTTCGTTTCAGGAGAGGGGGGTAGAGTAAAGTGATTGGTTCCCCACTCTTCTTGAATTACGATCCTCTGGACAACGTTAAATATAAAGTAGTGGGGATGCAATTCAATCGTTGCGTCATCAAAAAAAAAAAAGAAATTAATTTTGCTTGATCGCGTACGTTTTGAGTAGGCGAGTCAAAGCTTTTAAAAGCAGCGAGAGTTAAGGTACTTATTCGTCATTGTAAAATCATAAATCAAGGTAATAGTCGTGCGGGGTACACACACAGTGTACACCCCTGCGGCTTTTGTGAGTATATATATATATATATATGAGTATGGAATTAGTACGCGTTTATGTGTACTTGGATGCGACATGAGAGAAGGGAGAACAACCACACGAGAAGTAGGAGGTCTGCTTCGACCGGCTGCTTGCTCTTGGCAAAAATACGAACAAGAACGTAACCACGCCAGTCATCGTTTAAAGTATTGCCTGCGATTTATCATTGGTCGCATTAATGGCCACGGAATCCCATGTATTTCATTTGTATCTGTCCTCTTTTGCGAGCAGGAACTCTAACCTAGCGCTTTCAAAAAAAAAAAAAAATCGTCCTTTCGATCACGTTCTTGTATTATTAATTGGCAGAACTGTTTCATCGCTGAAAAAAGAGAATTTTTATTCTATGAGGGAATAATTTTTGAATTATAATTAACTTTATATTTAAAAACTTTCTGAAATTGAATTTACTGTTTTTAAAAATTTAATAGAATTTAAATAAAAGAAGGGAAATATAGATTGTATAAGTTGTTGGTAAATCTAGGTTTATTGGAAATTCGGTCCATTTCCTCAGTGAGTGCGTTTCTCTCTCTCTTTCTGCTTACTGGAGAAACTTACTGCTACAAAATTCAAACCGGAGGGGATAAAGAAGGGTTTAAAACCATGTAGGAGGAGTAGTAGTAGTGAATGTTTTTCCTTGTTGCTGGAAGGGATTTGGAATTTGTTGTTGTCGTTTCTTGGCATGTTTTTCCATTCTCTCTATACACTCGCAGCATCATGTTTTCACAGTTTGTACGCTCTCATTTTCAATTTTAGAAATAATTTTGCATTTTACAATATACAATTACTAATAATTCGAATCGAAAAATTTTTCATTGTTGTAAATTAATTTATTAATTGTGACACGCTCTGAAAAAACGGACCTTAGAAGCAAACGAATTATATGTTTTAATCATTAAACATAACCTATAATTCGTTTGCTTCTAAGGTCCCTTTCTTCAGAGCGCGTCACAATATTTCTATTTGAGAATTGTTTTTTAATTTTTAGTCTCTTAATGAATAATTAAAAATTGTGATTCCGGTTTGTTAAAGATGGTGATGGGGAGAGAAATGGAATTGCAAAAATTCTCCTACGTCCATCATTGTTTTTAAATGGAGGGGAGACATTAGGTGAGCGTTCACCTTGAAAGTTTTTCGTTGATCCCGCGCAGTCGTTTAATTTATGTTGTTTAAAAATGCAAATCTCGACGATTTGTCTTCGAATGAGCTTTGGTCATCCGACACGCGAAGGTTATATATATAGAAGACCGAAAACCCAATGGGAAGTTGGGAGAAATAAAGAAATTTCTTTTAATTAATCTCTGCCACGTCAATTTCTTTTGGGGCGCTCAGATAATTCGTAAGTAAGTCGCAATAGGGCCTCCTTTCGATTCAACCAAATGGGTTTACGTTTCTTTGCTACCTAGGTGGTCTTCGCGCTCATCATTTTTTTCGTCTATTTTCACTCTAGCCTTATATATATATAAATTGTAAATTTCATTCCTCAATGTCTCTTTTTTTCATATTAAAAAATTAATTTTGTAAACATTTTTTTTTTAATTGTTACGATATTTTTTAATTAAAAAGATTGTTGATGAAAAAAGAGAATATTGTACGAAAAGCTTCTTTTCCGTGAAAGTGACAATCGAGGTAATTTTTTATAGTTAAGAAACGTTGTAATTGTGAAATTAAAGATAAAAAGTGTTTAATTAAGTATAAGAGAATAACTGAGTTGAAAAATGCTTGATTAAAACATTTCCAGATATTCTTGAATATTTTTTTTGTAACAATTTTATATAATTAAAAAAAATGCTAATTTTCATTTTTTCTGTTTCAGGTATGTATTTATCTATACTATACTTTGGTGGATGTGAGTCGAAAAACGGTAACGTACAAAGATAATATATTATTCAAATGTTTAATTCAAGCGCGGGGGAAAAATGCCTTAAAATAGCATTTAGCTGATTAGCATATACAATTCACTGCAAAAAGAACCTTGAACTTCTTTTCTATTTTTTTTTTTTTTTTTTTGCATAGCGTTCTTCATTTGCGTGGACGATGGTAACGCGATAAATCAAGCTATTGAAAAGGGGGGTCGTCGCTTTGAATTTCGCGCGATTTCGAAGCGCTCCATCGGGTGACTATTTAATTATGGAATGGCGGATTTACATAATTGGTCACGACGTTGCTTTCTCGAATAAGATAAGAAAAGAGGACTAGCACAATAGAAACAGAGGTATATAGGTACATTTGAATCACCGACAGAGAATACTTCTTACTTTAAACTTGTCGTTTTTTATCAATTTCCTTTTTTTTGTATTTTTTTTTTTTTTTTTTTTGTTATAAATGAAATGAAAGAATTTTCAAACGCAAAATAAAAGAAAATTAGAGTTAATTTGCAATTGCACTTTGTCGCGCAAATTCGAACCGCCACACAATTACTGCGACTGTTTTTCGATGTGAACAAAATTACCGAGAAACTTGACTCGAAACCGTTCGTTTTGTCGGAAACCGATTGTATCCCGAAATTGTGTACTCTCTCACTGCTTTTGTAATCCACAATTTCACCGCGCAGCGCGGATGCAGTTTCCTGCAATTTCCACTTGCTTCATCCTTCCATCTTTGATTTGTTCCTTTTTTTTTTGCTCTCTCGACAAACACTCTCAACACCTGCTACTTTCTTCTAAAATTCAGGAAATGATTCCATTAACCCAGATTCTAGGGTGGCAATAATATTTCACCTTTTTTTTTTTTTTTATTGTTTTTATCACACTTTCTATAATAAAAGACGGACTATTTATTCGTCTGCGATAATTTCATTATAATCTCAATTTATACTTTAGTTATTGTTAACTAAATCCCAAAAATATTTGGATTAATAAATTATTATAAGCAGCTTAGAAAATTGGGTCAGTATTATTTTGTACACTTTTTTAAATATAGAGAAATAATTGTTATACAACAATTATTACAAAAAATATATTGTCAAAATAATAAGCGATGCAGAAAATCGACTTTGTCGGAGAAAAAGAAAAAGTCTCGTGGAATATCTAAACGTGTCTTCTTATATATTGGGAATTCTTGATCAAATAAGACGACTACGTCGAATGAATTCAAGTTGCCAAGAGAGAGAGAGAGAGAGAGAGAGAGAGAGAGAGAGAGAGAGAGAGAGAGAGAGAGAGAGAGAGAAGACGCCTGCAGGTGCTTACCGACCCGACGTGAAATGCCTCGGCTCTGAGAGTAATACAGTGACTGATACGAATGCATACAGACGGTCGGTCTACCAATATATAAGGCTTCTTTAATAGTGCCAGAGATTTTTCAAGAGCATAATAAATATATATTAAAGTGCAACCTCAAAAAAGTTTCGCAATATTTTTAATAAAGAAAAAAATATATAGAATTTTCGAAAAATAAATTATTCTTCCTCTCTCAATTTTAAATCTGAGATTTCATTATAAAATTCGAGTTTAGTAATTCAATATGATTTCTACTGCAATTCAGTATGGTAATGCAGATTTGGCTGTTCTGTTTTAACGATTAATGATAATACAGATTTAACTGTTCTGTTTTACCGATTAACGATAATACAGATTTAGCTGTTCTGTTTTACCGATTAACGATAATAAAGATTTAACTGTTCTGTTTTACCGATTAACGATAATACAGATTTGACTATTCTGTTTTACCGTATAATGCAAATTTAGTTCCTAAATTTCAGATATTTTTCAATAAAATTTCACTTGAATATTGAGAGAGTGCGAATTTTCATTTGCTCGATATAGAAGCACTGCGGGAGCAAAAATGAACTCGACACTATAAGATAACTTCCGTTGGCTCGTAAGGCGTCATTACATACCGCACTTGAGGAGTCTTATTTCCCCTCGGAATAAGCCGCATTAATTTTCTTAAACATAGTGGCGCTGCAGGTTGAACAGATTCTCCTCTCTGCACAGCAGCAACAACATCCGCGATTTCTATATATACAACAACGACGGCGGCATCGGCATCGTTTCGCCGCGGGTGTACAAGAATTTTCAGATTGCCGTCCCGCAATCGGATCGCGATTATCCTTTGTTCACTGCCCCAGGGTCGTGGATGGAATCGCTCGAGCTCTCTGTTCCTTCGTGTTCTCTCTTTTCAAAAGCCGCGATCTCTCTCTCTCTCTCTCTCTCTTTTTCTCTCTTGCTCCTTTTTGGATCGTCAGCTGAGAATCGGGAGAAAGCGACCGGCACCTCCTCGTGCGCCTAATGACGCCACCTCGCGAGAGAACCGTAATCGCTCTACAATCTTGAGAACCGACGAGTCAAAGGCGTCAAAAACACGTCACGCAAGCGTAACTTTCAAAACTCGCGCGCGCCTACGCAAAAAGTAAGATGAAAGTAGGATTTGCCTTGTGAACAATAAAGTTTTATTTAAATCAAATATTGTGTAGTAAATAAATTTAAATAACAATATATATGGCAATTCAC